AGAAGGAGAAACATTCGGAGATGTGTTTGACTGAGATAAATGCGGGTCAGACATGTTTATTCACTAGACTTTTTTTCATCCAAGAATGTTCTTCATTATATAGCACATATTCACCAAGATGGACAAACGGAAGCCGGGGTCTTCTTGGTTGCCTGGTGCAGTCACAAGCTCGCCGACGCCTGCCAATGCCTGAATAACCAGGCGCTCAGGAACTCCTTCTTGGTTGCCGGCTGCAGACAGAAGCTCGCTCACAGCCGTCAATGTGTGAAAAGCCAGGTGTCTGGATTCTTCTCTGATGGGAATGCTGGACTAGCCGATTCGATTTCTTACTGAGGAAAAAAAAAATAAATAAAACAATTACTAAAATTGACTTTTAAAAAAAATAAAACTTAATAAATAAATAAAGAGTATTTACCTTCATTTCTCAGTCTGTTCGTTATAGCGAGAAGGGGTGAGTCTAAGAGAGTGAAAAATATATATATATGATTATATGATATTAAAACTCAGAATTATTATTATTATTTTATTTTCTTACCATTGGTTTCGGGTGTTGAACTAAAAGTTGGCTGGTCAGATCTTTCTTGAATCGTATTTTCAATTTTTTGATCTTCTTCACCACTTCCTGCTTCTGGTATATCCTGGACTACAGTTTCTCCGCCATTATCGGTTTCCTGGACTACATCTCCCCCAGCACATCCTGCTTCCGCTATATCCTGGACTACAGAACTTCCTGCTTCCGCTATATCTTGGACTACAACTTCCGCAGCGTCCCCTTACGCATTGTGTTGGACCAGCAGCGCTGCAGAAGCGTTGGCTGGCTGTATGTTTCTGGCAGAGCGTTTCCTTCGTTTTCCTGCTGAGGAAAAAAAATAACGCGCTTTAGTAAGACCGACTTAAAAATAAAAAATCCTAACAACTAACTTAAATTAAAAAGGCTATTTACTTTATTTTCTCCGTTTTGAAGAACGCCGGACTTTCAATACCTTCCTTGTAGCGAGAGGCTGAGAGTCTAACAGAAAAAACAAAGAAAAATATATATGATTATATGATAATAAAACTAAGAATTATTTTATTTTAATTTTTTTTTTCCACTGGCTTCAGCTGGTGTTGAACTACAAGCTGGCTGATCAGATCTTTCATTCGGAATGGATGTGTCTGTGAGAAAAAAATAAATAAATAACGCACTTTAGTAAGACCGACTTAAAAATAAAAATCCTAAAAACTAACTAAATTAAAAAGGCTATTTACTTTCTTTTCTCTGTTTTGAAGAACGCCGGAGTTTCAATACCTTCCTTGTAGCGAGAGGCTGAGAGTCTAACAGAAAAAACAAAGAAAAATATATATGATTATATGATATTAAAACTAAGAATTTATTTATTTTTTCTTACCATCGGCTTCAGTTGGTGTTGAACTACAAGCTGGCTGATCAGATCTTTCATTCAGAATGGCTGTGTCTG